CGGGTAAGTAATTCTCTTTTGGCCGTATGATTCATATTTGGTTTTTCATTTCGATCTAATCATAGGTTTTTTGCAGTCCAAGGTTAAGGAACACTAGTTGGCGACGGATGCTGAGGAACAACACATGGTTCGTGTCATTCTTCCACCAGAAGTCCGTGTTATACCTGATCCGCCTGCTGTACCTGATCGGGCTGTTGTACCTGACCGGGCTATTGTACCTGATCCGCCTGCCTCACCTGAACGGGCAGCTGTACCTGATCCGCCCGTTGATGTGGAAATGGGTCCTCTAGAGGATCCGATAGTAGATGCACATGCGGTAGACGAGGCTAGACCCAGTGCAAACGACGGTGAAGGGTTAGAGAAGAGATCGAAGAAGAATAAATTCAAGAAGAGGATCAACATACGATTGAAGAGGCTGGATAACCGTGTCAGTGCTATCGAGGACACACTGGGTGACTTTGGAGTTGCCCTGAAAGGTATTCAGAGATACCTAAAGAAACCGGCGAAGGTACTAATTTAATATGTATACAAATTTGTTTTTAATTATTACAATAATGCTCATGGGCCAGTGTTTTGGGTGCAGGGTAAATTCCCTGATTCGAGCAAGTATTTCGGAGGTGGGGTTGGGCCCGATGATGACGGTCCATCGGATCAAAGGCCTGATGAGTCCCCGAAGCCAGATGGAGGTCGGAAGAGTATGGACGAGAACCAGAGGCCTGATGAGGACCAGAGGACGGATGAAGACCTGGAGACTGAAAAGGAACCGACGTTGGGACATGGTCCGAATAGTGTCGATGAGGATCCGAAGAGAAGGGACGATGATCCTATGATAACGGAGGAGGATGATGGTATGATAACGGATGGGGACGAGGATCCAAATCAGGTAACTCGTACTTATTTTCCTCGTCGGATTATTTATGACCTTGTCTTACATCATGTTATTTAATATCAGGACATTACGATCGGGAGACCACCTGATGGCTCGGAAGTGGATCATGCAGATGACCATGTACCTCAGGTGGCCGTAATTCAGGTAACCACCTTCTGTAATGCTAGTATACATCCCTGATTCACATATTGTAATGTGATTAATATTTCTTGTGCATTAGGATCTCACCGTTGKCAGGCAAGAGCCGGATGCTCAGCCAGATACACAGCCCACRAGACGACGAGTTAGGCGTCCATATAAGGACTGGGCACCCGACGCGATCGTTAAGGTAAACTTAATGTCATGCATTTCGTCAGTTGTCATTACTCGACCTTACGTGTTTATTGTGGTTTAGGTTGAACCGTACCTTGACCAGGACGAAACTGACCTTCAGCATGCCCCAACTTGCCGGGGACTACGCAAGCGCCATTATTCGTGGAAGCTGAAGGGTATATACACACCAACCGGCCGGCGTAGGATCACCGTGGACGCATATGACCCAGCATGTCCTATTCCTCCACAGCTGGACGGTCAGTTCCAGACATGGATGGATGACCCAGACACTGATGGACGAACTCGGTCTACTGCAGCTGGCTTACTAGGGAAGGAATGATATCGCGATGTACTAGACCCTATTGTCCAATTGAAGGACGAGGTAAGTACCTCTTATTCCACTATATAGTACTACATTTGTCAATAATATTTCAATATCAACTTGTATTTCTTAAATGCAATAGGTAGTTGATGCTCTCGACCTATTTACGGCCAAAAAGTTGGAGAAGTGTGTACATCTGTGTCGCAAAAAGTTTGCGATAGGCGACGTGCTACTTTCGGTACAGACTTTTTACCATTTTGTACTAAAAAATACTATTTTAATTATTTGTGTAAGTAATATCATTTTGTACTTCTTGTACAGACTCTGCTGAACCGAACAGACGGTCCGTATGCGGCCATGAAACCAGGGGTCCTGTCCACGAGAATCGAATACCCCTGGAGCCAAGAGAATACAATATTTCGGTATGTGTTCGGTAGGCAGTTGGACCAGAATGTGGCTTGGACTGATGCAGACACTGTGTACACCCCGATCAACATAGGTGGGAACCACTGGGTGATGCTCGGAATTGATCTTGTGGAAGGTGACTTAACCGTATGGGATTCACTCCAATCGGCCACTCCACTAGATTCACTTGAGAAGGAGCTGAAGCTCATTTGTACGATCCTACCTGCGGTACTACATCATGGCGGGATATTTGCATCACGACCGGACCTACCAGTGGTGCCATGGAGGGTGCGTCGGGTTCGCACACCCCAACAGAGTAACGCCACAGATTGCAGAATTTTCTGTGTACGCTTCTTCGAGTACGATGTTACCGGGTCAAAGCTGGACACTTTGACCCAAGATAATATTATATTTTTTAGGCGTCAGTACGCTGTACAGATGTGGGCGCGCCGTCCCATTTTTTGAATATTTATGGAATTTCGATATTGTCTTTTCTAATTCGTATTTCATTCTCGAAGCATGATACATGAAACACACAATAATAATACAATCCAATCCTCATAATAATAATAATAGTAGTAGAACACATAGAGTTGCAAATGCATGCATGCATGGTTGGTTTCTTGAGATACAAGTTACCTTGCCAATTTCTCTAAAATCCACTTCATACATGTTTAAAAGTAAATGAACAACAAAAGCATACATTCACAATGTGATAAGAGGTTCGCTACATGTTTTGCGATTGTGTCCCCACGCACCACAGCGACCACACTTACGTGTTTGTCGTACCTCACCCGTGGAAGGAATCCTAGTTGTCTTCCTCCTCCCAACTCTTGGAACAGTCTTTGGTGGTTCCACCGGTATGTTGACAAACTCTGGCGAACTGTTCCATGTCGAGACGTGTCCGACTGGAAATATGGGTTCTGCATAAGCCAATATCCAGGAGTTCGTCGTATATGCCTCGTCGCACAGACTGTATGGATTTATATTTCGCATCATCGCCGCCGCAATAGCATGAGAGCACGGAATCTTAAAGTAATCAAACTCCTGACAACTACACGTCATAGCGTTCAAATCAACAATCCCGTCAAGGTTGCCATCCCGTACCTGGAAATGGAACTAGTCAATGTTGTCTACAACGTGTCTCCGCACACTATCGGAATATTCGGCATACATGTTTTCTGCGTAGTCGGACAATATGGTTGATCGGGAAGCTGCAAGCGTCCGTCGATCATAGAACCAATTCTGTAACTTACCTCTAATGTGGTCAAGTAAGGCGGTAACCGGCAACTTACGGGCGTGCCTGAAGAGGGCATTTACAGACTCTGCGATATTTGTAGTCATCTGTGTGTACCTCAATTGAGTTTGGAAACAACGAGCCCAACGCTCCTTCCCAATATCATCTAGATATTCCCGTACACCGGGGTATGCACGAAGTTGGGCCCAGATTGAGTTGAAATATGACTCGCGATACGCCTTTGCAGCCTTTAAAAATAGTTCCTCGACTGCCTTCGCATCGTTTTTAAATTTTGCTATCAAGTTAACCTTGATATGCTGTATACAAAAGCAATGAAATGCAGCAGGAAATACCTTGTCGATTGCCTTGCAAATGGTTTGATGTCTATCAGAAACGAAAACCAAATTATCAACTCCAGCGAGCGCACGTTTTGTTTGAGTCATAAACCACACCCATGATGCTACCGTCTCACCGTCGACAATCGCAAATGCTACTGGGTAAATCTAGTTATTCGCATCGACACCAGAAGCTGATAACAATACCCCTCTGAACTTCCCCTTTATGTGGGCCCCGTCAACAACCAACACTGGTCTAATACAACCCAAAAAACCTCGAATCGATTGACCCAATGTCATAAATACATATTTGAAATATTTGCCACCTTCTAGTTCTAATTCGAAAATAGTACCT